ATGTGCTGACCATCCACCTCTACGCCAGTTTTACTCCCACGAAAGCAGACACCCCCCGGGAAAGGCTGCTGCCTCCTGCAGTCCCATCTTCTCTTCTCTAGAAGGGTCAACAGCTTGGGCCACCCCCATTTACTTGCAAGAGACCCTGTGAGGGTGGCACAAGCAGTCTCTGCTCAGAGGGACAGTGCTCTGCCAGAAAGCCCTTGATCCAGACAACTTTATGAGCCGTCCATCTAAAAGCATCAATGAGAACTGCATCTGCTGTGTGTCCTCCTAGACAGAAGGCGGAGGGACAGGCCTCCTGGGAAAGCTCATGCTTCCTGCCCCACCGAACTGACCTCCCGAGACAGATCAGGAGTCTTGGTTCCGAGTTTCCTGGGGGATGAACTTCTGCATCACAATCATAGCTGCCTAGATTCCAGAATCCCACCGTTCAGGGGCCAGATGCAGGCGGCAGACAGAGACAGAAAGAAAGGGATCTCTGACTAACCCATCCTCCCCTGAAAGGCAGTGTGGGGAGGCTCGAAGTTCAGAGCTGCGTCTGATTACTGACCCCAGAACCACCCTGTCCCAGGACCAGCAGAGTCCAAGCTTTCGGAAAAGAATCAGGACCCCCAGACCCTGACGGCTGTGATTACAGACTCCAGGGCTCCCTCTGAACTGAGCCTCCATCACCAAAACCGCAATACAGAAGGACACGGGGCTTCACCTGCCTCCCCGGCCCACCACCCACACAGGTTCGGCTGCACAAGGCCCCCACTGGAGGCCCCATCGGATCGCCCAGACACATGGGCTGGCTGCCTGACGTCTACCAGCTGGTTTTGCAGATGATCTGAGCGCCTCGCGTGGGGCCTCCTGGACTTGGACCTTTAGGCAGGACTTTCTGAGCACCACAGAAGCATGAAGAGAACATGTTAAGCACCCAGTTAATTGGGAAACCAAGGGGAAATCTGAAGAACACAGTCCTGCCCTAACTCCAGCCTCTACTCAGCAATGCTGGCAGAGTAGCCAAACCTGACTGTGCGACTCCACGGAGCTAACACCCCTGCTCCCCACAGACACAGTCAAAGGTTGGTATGTCCATACAGAGGAATAGTACTCAATAAGGAAAAGGAAGTACTGACATAGGCAAGAGCACAGCTCATACTAGCACAACACTGATGGAAAAGCCAGATCAAAGGAGATTGCACTGCATGACTTAATTTTATATTAAGTTCTAGAAGCAAAACTAATCTTCAGTCAAAAAAACCCACAAACCATCAGAATAGTGGTTACCGTGGTGGGGGTAGGGCTTCTCTCTAGGATGCTGGAAACCTACATCTTGGTCCAGGTGATTACACAGGTGTTCTCATGCCCCAAAACTTCAGCTTACACTTAGGATTAGTGAACATTATACACGTGTGCAATACATATGTAATAAACATGATGTACATATACACAATTTAGAAGTTTTTTATGGCAAAGCCCATTGATGTTCAAATGATAAGTGAGTCAGTGCCCTGGGAGCTGAGGGACAGGAGGCCCATTCACAAACTTCAGGACCCATCTCAAATTGTCCCCATCCTGTGCAGTAACTAAAAGCACTTATTGCTGAGCTTCCCTTCACAAAAACCGATCTTTAAACTGGGAGGTGATCTTGGAGGACTGCAGGAACTTATTGCATCAAGCATCGGTTACTACATGCTCAGCAAACACCCGGCAACTGCCTAACACAGTTTACACACACACACGTGCACACACAGAGCCCAAATTAAATGCCATCTCAGCAAAAGATGACAGTGTCCACTCCTAAATAGGGTGTCTATTCCTCTCAGGCAACAGGATCTAGGCACTGGGCTTATTATCAAAAGGATCGTTTTCAGCCTGCTCTGTCCAACCCTCCTCCTTTGACACAAATCACAGCCAGAAGAGATCAGAGGAGTCCAGAGCAAACAGTCTCCGGTGCCCA